TGTTGAAGGATTAGCTTGTCTTCCTTGCTAATACTATCTGAAAGGTCCAGATTACCAATCATTGGCAATCCCGTGCTTCCCCATCATCACCACGACCTCTCCCTCAAACTCTCAATCCCTTCCCAATTCCTTCTTCCCATACCTCATCGAAACCCTGTGCACTGCCAGTATCTTGCCGCCGCACCCTCCCTTCCCCTTTTCTCAACGACGGCGGTGAACTGTGAGAGAGAAAAGAGAGATCAAGGTGGATTCTATTTAAGAAATTAGAAGCCAATCTACAATGATTGCGATTGGATCGAAGTCGAAATCGAAATCAGAGAGTATGAGGAAGCAGACTTAGCAATCAAATATTGATTTTTTTTTTTGTGGAAGCTCTTTCTTAGAAAGTTCACAATCAAGCAACCCATTTGATGCAAACTTGTCAGAAGAATTCAACAGCCTTGATTGAGTCTATGAATCCTTCGTTCCCTTTGCGAAAGGTAGTACAGAAAAAAAGTTAGTTTGAAAGTCTATGTGAGAGATAAGAGGTGGGCACTAAGCAAGGATAACGATGAGCAAAGATCACGATGATGGCTTGGGATAATGTTTTTTTTTTTTTTTTTTCCAAGGGAAAAAAAATTGTTGGTTTAAAAAATTGTTAGTCTTTTGTTAAAAAAATAAAAAATAAAAAATTGTTAGTCTATGACTTAGTCTGGCACTGCACCAAACACTTTATAATTTTTATCTAGCTTAGTCCAAGTCAAGCCAGTCCAGTCCGAGATAGTCCGATGCAACAAACGAATCCTTAGGATGCAAAATGATAAAATTAAGACTTTGTGGCCCATTTTAAAAATCACCTCAAACTTGAAGGTATAAAATGTAGTTGGCCATTTTTGTTAATATAATGATGTATTACACTAAGAAGCGGGAGAATAAATTAGTATCGAACTTGTTGTCTATAAAATTCAAATTTAAAACATCTCACTTACTATTATTTTACAATTAAAAAAAAACTTTTAATGAAAATGGCGTAACAAAAAATAATTTTTATAAAACACACATAATGATTTTCTTTTTTTTTTCAATTATGCCACTTAGAGTTGGTTTGGGATCTATCCCAAAAACAAAAAAAAAAAAATATATATATATATATATATATATAGAAAAGCTTATTAAAAAAATCTAAAACATTAAATGTCTTTGGTAAAACATAAAAAAAAATGTATTTTTTAAACTGCTGTCAATGAAAGTAGAAAATCATAGAAAAGCAGAAGTAGAGTCTACCATGCTTCTAAAAAAACTGTTTTTTTTTTTAAAGCATAATAATCAATGTTCATTTAATGAACTTTTCAAATGGCAAGTATAACCCCTACATGTTTTACGAAATTACAATCTTTGCCCCTACATTATTGCATTTGACAATTATTATACCACATTTAATATTATATCATTTTTAGTCATTTAACATATTCAAAGCAATTTATATAAAAGTTTATCAAACACTCAAACATTGTTTTTTATTTTATTTATTTATTTATTTATATTAAAAAACACTTTTACAAAAAAGATTTACCAAACACTTAACAACTTTATCTTACAGCTGTTATTGTCACATCACAGCAGAAGCATTTTTTTTTTAAAGCACAACAATACCAAATTAACCTCAACTTGCTCTAACCCTTAGAGTAAAATTCAAAATTTAGGTTCTAAACTTATCTCAACTTGCTCCAACCCTTGGGACAAATATGAGTTAAAACCAAAACTCATTTCTGGGGCAAATTTAGCCCATGATTCCCTCTGGATTAGTGGGGCTGGCCCACCATATATGTATATTTCTTTTAGTTTTATATTGGGAAGTGTTATTGGCACTCCAAAAATCTCATTCTACACTCCTCACAAATGTTTTTTTTTTTCCAAATATAGAAAGTTTGGAGTGTAGAATGAGATTTTTGGAGTGCCAATAACAATTCCCTTTATATTTATAAATTCATTGAATTTAACTGTTAAAATCTAATTTAATCAAATCCAACGGTAAAAAAAAGAATATCTAACAGTCTAAATTTAAATCCAACAGCTAAAGTAATAAAAAAAAATATTCTATGTGTTTCATATTCTTTCGTAGTGTTCCATGAGTTTCATGGTGTCAGTTTAGTAATTTTTCAATATTTATCGAAATTTAAATATTTTTAGGTTAAATGTTCACAAAATTAAATTAAGATCGTCTACATAATTTTTTTTTAAGTTACTTTAAGAAAAAAATTATCCTAAATTCATTCTTTAATAATTTCGGGCTAAAAATTTAACCTATAAGGGTTGGAGGAGAAAAACTGTTTTTGGATTAAAACCTAAATTTTCTGAGTTAAATATTTTAGGTTTTAACCCAAAGGTTGGAGATGGTCTTAGTACTACGGTTTAGTAGTATTCCTCTTCAGTTGTAAGTGAGAGATCTTAGGCTCAATTCTCGCCAAAGGCGAATTTGAACTACATTATTGCTAGTCCATTGTGAGACTTATCTCTAACCCTTGGAGTAAAACCTAAAATTTTTAGCCTAGAAACAGATTTTCTGCTCCAACCCTTTTAGCCTAAAATTTTAACCCCATATTATTAAAGTATGAATTTAGGCTCTTTTTATTTTACACTGTTTAAAAAAAAGGAAAAACTTAATATGAGTCCAATTTTACGAGCCATTATTAGTTATAGTCCTATTTTGTTTAATTTTTGAGTTAGGTCCAGTAATTTATTGTCCACATCAGCTTATTTGTATTCTTTTGCCACATTTACCCTTAAAAACTGACTAATTAAGTAATTACTGTTTTTTTAATTTGTGATTAATGTTAATCTTATCCTTAATTATAGGATTATTTTTAGGGATTTAAATCTCTTTTTTTTTTCTTCTCCTTCCACAAACCGTTCATTTCTATTCTTATTTCTCCGTCACAATATCTTTCTCTTCCTGCGTTACTCTGTCCAGTAATCTTCTTCCATAATATTCATCTTCTGCTCCTCCTCCTTCCATAAGGATGATCAATATACATTGGATTGGATTAAAAAAAGAGATTGCACTAGTCAATCTTATGTTTTGGGGTTCCACAAAATTACTTCTTCTTTCTTCCACGAATTGCAGACTCTTATGATTCTCGTTTATGCATGTATAATTGCAGGCTCTCACGATTAATTTCTTCTTCACTTTTTTGGTATGTATAAAGTATTTGTCTTCCTAAAAAGTAGGTATACATAAAATTGAACGTATCTGGGAAATAAAATCCTAAATGACCCACCAAAGGAATAAACCCTCCCCCCAACACTCATAGTCACCAAATTGTTGCTTTACTTTGATCTGCGCCTTCCACCAATTCAGGTAAACAAAACTTTGTTTTGTTTTTTTGGGACAGAAGGGAGAATATTAAACAAATTAAGATGGCATCATAATTAAAGATTCCCAAACACCATGGTACAAGCATAGAAACTAAAACAAGCTTTGAATCAAATGGATATATACAAACTTTGGCCATATGAGGAGGATGGATTGGGCGCGCCATGAATTATACACAAGGAGGATTGAAGATGCAATAATCATTCCACCAAAACAGGTAGATAAAAATAAATTAAATAATTGCACCCATAGAGGTAGAATGAAAACCCTTTTCTACCCATAGAGGTGGACAAAAACACATAACTTACGTAGCTCTATCACAGGTTTTAATTTTTTTTAATCTACCTCTCACAATTTTTTTACTTTTATTTTTGATAAACTTATCATATTTGTTGTATAAGGATTTATAATTTATTTATTTATGAGAAAGTAGATAAAGGCATTTGAAATTCAAATTTAACAAATTAAAATATATTTTTATTTTTACTTTAAGGGGCAAAATGAACATACCAACAAATCAAATGAAATTGGACTTGATCTGAAAGTAGGTGATTTTTTTGGACTTGGATCAAAATGCCCCTAAAAAAAATTATGTAGACTATCCTAAATTAATTTTATGAACATTTTAACCTAAAAATATTTAAATTCCAATAAATATTGAAAAATCACTAAATCGACAACTCATGAAACACTATGGAAGAGTTTGAATGTGGAATTTAAATTTGGGTGAATTTTGAGTTAAATTTTTTTAATTATTTTAACGGTTGGATTTAAATTTGGACCGTTAGATCTTTTTTTTTATCGTTAAATTTGATTATATTCGATCTCAGTCATTAGATTTAATAAATATAAAACTTAAAAAAAAAAAAAAGTTTGATTATGGCTACATGATCACGTAAAGAGCCGTTATGCTCATCACTTCCATCAGACAACCAAAAAACAAGCCCACATGTGTGGGCCAGGAAAGTTGAGCAGCCTAGCGAGTGCGGGCCGTGCGAGCGTCTGGGATGGGCAAGTTCAATCCACTTTCCTTGTTTCACTCTCACATGTGGACTCTACCACAAATTTTGGGCTAAATCTTAAGGGGAATTTGAGTTTTTTAAGGTTTTAACACTTAACCTAATTTTAGAACAAGGGTTGGAGAGAAATGGGAGTGGAATAGAAGGGAAAATTTAGTGTATATAATTTTTTTGTTAAAAAAAAAAGTCAGAAACCTTGTTTTTAGTTTACCCCATTATCATAATTTCTGTTCTATTTGCACTCTAGAGGTTCTCAAGGATCGCAGTTTTCTGGTGTTTCTGCCCAAATTTTGAGTTGGCCGAGTAACAGAAATTACTCTTCGCATTCTTCTCTACGTACACACGTATGTATTTCATTTGGAAGTTCAGAACAATTGAGAGTCCAAATTTCGAATTAGGGACCAGAGGATAAATGGAAAATTTTCATGTATTGAAAGAAGAAAAAATGTTCATCCAAGGGCTTACATATATTTTTCTACCGACTTTTATTTTATTTTAACAAACGATATTATCTATACTAATGAAGAGGTTGCAAACTTGGCAACGTCGTGGATCAAAGGGCCGAAGCCTCCTATTGTTACCCGTTAACTCTTACTCAAACATTCAACACAGATCAATCAACCCAGGTCTTAGAAAAGAAGTCATAACATTAACATATTATGGCAGCAAGCTTATACAAAGACTTACATGTGATGTTTTTTACTTGCCAGGATCTTTCCAAGGACAGCAGAAACAGAACCAGCAACGTCAGGAAAACAAAAATTGGATACAAACACAGCCAGCAATACCAGAAAAACAAAAAGTATGTATATCAACGCATGTCGATCGTCCATCCTATTCACTAAAGCTTTTGGCTGTGACTCTGCACGAAACTTTTCCTTTCTCTTTCTCAAATAGATTCTTCGGTTTGAAGTACCTTGGAAAGGAACTGCTTGCGACGAAGTGTCTTGCATATGTTGTTGAGATTGATGTTCAGCCTCTGAGTTGTTGGCAACAACTGGCATCATATGAGCAGCAGGCACCAAAGATTCATCTAGGTTGATGTTGATTATATCATCGTTCAGTATATCCGCATAGAAGTCTTCATCATAAGAACCCTGCAATTTGTAAATAGAAAAGGATCAAGATTCATGGGCTGGACACACAATCGACTACCATATAGAAATAGAGTTCAAAACCACCATCAGTTATGCATGGCTTCTTGGACGCTTGGACCCGGTGATAATTTCTCAAAGAATAATAAGTATGGTAAAAACAGAACAACAAAGTATTGTTCAGGACCCTAAGATGACTGAAGACTTCTTATATAAAGACATTTGATTAATCACTTATTATACAACAACTGAACACTTGTTGGAGGTGGTCACTGGTCACCGCCATCCCTTTAGATCCCTTCCCTTAACCACTAAATAATATTTTATGTCAGTTCGGGGATTAGAAGACACTAATTTAGCGGCTTTGGTGCTGTCATAACTACCTGAAACACAACTCCCTCTGTAACAACCATCTGACACAAAACTAGCCGTGCCGTATTTATTAGTATGGACCCATTGGTAAGCTCATTAAATTAAAGAATGCACTAAAAAGTTGCACCGACCAGAGAGAGGAACATGATACCCGCTATATGGTGTATATTTTTATTTTTCTCCTTTTCCTGTAAAATGATACTCGCTGTATGTTAGATTCTAACATTGTAGGTGGTGCTGCAGAGTTAATCTCAGCTAAGATGACAGAAAAATTAAGAAAAAGAAAGAAGGATAAGATAAAACAAACCCACCTTCTGGTGGCCAGTAGAGTCTGCCTGCGTAGCATCTGTTACAAGTTTTTGGTAGGCGTCGGATGCAGAATCAATTTGCTCAATAGACTGAGAATCATGACTGCTAGTAGACTTTTTCGAAGGGCATTCAACTGCCTTATCCCCTTGGTCATTACCAATTTCAGAGATGGCGCTTTCACCCTTGTGCATAGTTGATAAAGGACTCCGACTTGAAGAACCTCGGTTTGTGGTGTCATTCAAACGAAACTCACTGTTCTTCCGAAGGCGGCAAACAACCATAGAATCCTGCAGATACAAACAGGCAGAATATGTAAGAGAAAAGAAATCAGAAAGTGCAGATATATATATATATATATATATATATATATATATGGAATGCATAAGTGAATCTGAAGATGTAATCAGAAACTATTTTCAATATAACTCACATAGCAAGTAAATAATCTTGAACCAATTCAAGATGATCAAGCAGGTCAGATGTCTCTGGCTAAATATTCACTTCTGATAATGTTCACTTTAAAATCACAAACTAGAAGGAATATGAAGCCTCTGATAAGGTATTACTAAGGAGACAGCAATTATATTGGAAGATAGAGTGAGGAAACGGTAATTAATTTAATATTCCGTTTCCCAGAAGAATATACATATGGTGATAGTTCAAACCAAATAACTAACAAAATATATTGAACTAATAATGAAAAAAGTCACCTGGGATTTATCATTCATGCAGTACTCGTGCATAATCCATTCTGTCCTTTCCCCTTTTGGTGCACGACCTACGTGGAACACAAGTGTCCTCTTTGTACCAACAACATTAGAACCTGACTTTACGTTACGTTCCTTTCCTGTGGCTTTCCAATAACCAAATTCTGTTGCCCTCCTACTTTGTGCACCATTTGGGTACTTTCTTCCTCGTGGAGAAAAGAAGAACCATTCATTGTCCGATTGAATGATAGATTTAGCTAGTAACACATACACAATGTCAAACCCAGCAAAAGACTATTTGTTTGCACAGAGAATTTAACCAGTTTAGGGTTGTGAAATAACCACACATAAAACAAACAAATATTATAGGCGGTGCGAATCAGACACCATATTATGCAAATTATAACCAGAAATAACCAACATAGGTCTCCATGATTAAATTTCTGGAAGCAAAAAGAATTCAAGTTATTTCAGCCTTTCAAGTAAAGGGTGCTATTTCTCAGACACACTGTAGGAGGAAATTTGTAGGTTAAGCGCAATTCTATAGTGTATTGAGAGAAAAATGGGTGCAGGAATTCCAATAATGTTATCGTGCATAGAACTGCATCGATTTTCAAATTTTGCAATGCAAGACTTGATCCCAGGAAATAGTTTCTTTTAACCGAGTAATTAATTACTTAAATAATTTCCAACCTTCTGTAACCATGAAAGAACTATCGTCTCAAACAGGGATTCAAAACTAAAATGTTTATAAATCTGCATTCTATACTCTTCCTGATTAACGCCAATTGACTCCAAACCATACAAATACACTTCTCTATCAATTTGAACTCTTTCTGGTCAGCTCGTCAGTTAAATCAAGTCTTCATCTTTATTGGCTTCTAACTAGACAAAAAACTATACTTCAATATTCCATTTCCAATCCAAAGAAAGTGCAACAAAGATATTTCCAGGTATCTGCCCCTTTCATTTACAAAATTTATTAGAGAGTAGGCCAAAACATATGTATAAACTCAGCACATTCCTTAAGTTCAACACATCCTGCATGTTGAGAGACATACAGATGTAAACATATATGTGCAGCCACTCTACTTTGTACCTTGCAAGCTTAAAAATAGGCGGGGGACGAGAATTTGAGTGCGACCACGTGCATGTTTGTGTTTACTCATTGTAGGAATGTGACTAGTTTACCACAAGAAACTATTGCACACTAGCTCCATCTCTTTTTCTTTCACACAAAAAGAATCCTAAACATAGAATCCCCTCCATTCATACTAAAAGGAATTTGGAAGCATCGAAATATGCTTCGCTTTCTCATTTTGTTAAAGAACTATTTACAATTTATTCAAAGCTATCAATTTCACATGAAGAACATCCTATCAACTAACAGAGAACTGAGAACCAGTAGTAGTGTAATCTCATGGATCAAAGGTTCGGACCTAATCTATAGGAGGAGTGAGACCCATGCAGTTCCACAGCCCGGCTTAAAATGAAAAGAGGCCTGTGGACTGATCATTTAGCAGGGTTCTTAGTCACTCTGCATAACAATTAGAGTAAGAGTAATGCTAGGGAGACCAAATTTTTAAAACCAAATGACGTGGTTGTAGATGATTGGATTATTAATTAAGTGTTGATTAATGTGCTTGTTTCTCATTTGGTTTGCAATTATCGTATCGATATGCAAGAACTACAAACCAACGTGGAATATAAGAGAAATGAAAAGGACATCTCTTTCGTATTTTCCATGACAAAAACATTGAATAAATCCAATTCAACGCTGTCGCTGTCGCTGTCAGCACACAAACGCAATACTCCATAAAACAAATATCATTCTTAATCAGTGTTTCCTTAATCTTTTCGAATAATAGCTATTAAAAGTAAAAACCCAACAAACAATACCCAATTCCTAAAAATTCGAAGAAGAAAAATCAAAACTTTCAGAAAAATAAAGTGGAGAACTAAAAAAATGAGTAAAACCCAACAAACCTGGCAAGTCGCAGGGTTCGAAGTTGCAGATATCAACCTCGGAGATGACCTCCACCGTCTTCCCGGGTGCGGGTCCCTCCAGCTTGTTCTTAAGGTAGTAGGAAATCAATTCCTCGTCCGTCGGTGAAAATCTAAACCCCGGAAACATCGAAAAGGCCGCTATAGAAAGCTGAGCGTCCTTCGAAACCGCATCCATATCTTCTTTCTTTGTCCTTGTCTCACTGCTGTTTGTTTTCACACACAGAGAGAGAGAGAGAGAGATGAAATTTAAAGGGGTTTGGGTTCTGTGCCTTGCTTTTTCTTGCCGTTTTTGTCTTGCTTTTGCGTGTCCAGGTTGGTTTGTTTGAGAGAGAGGGGGTTTGGGCGGAGGGAAGGGCACGGAACAGGAACGGACCTAAATGAACGTGATGGTCACGCGGATGGAAGCTACAAAAGATAGCAACGTGAGAACAACTTATGTAAAATGGGTTCATCGTTATTTGGCGTCTCGATCTAATAATACATTGTGTAGGACCATGAATTTGGGCCATAACACGTGGCACACAGGGTGACAAAAAAAACGGGAATACCCATAGTTAATGACTCTCGGACTATCGGACTAATCAGACTTTTCAACCAATTGGACTTAGCCTTAGTCTGTTACATATGTTACTTGTCTCCCAAGTAAGGAAATCATAATTCATGTCAAGTTAGGATATATTGGAAATTAAGCAACTTAATCACAATCCTAGGAGGATTAAACAATTTATCATATATTCTCTTTTAGATAGTCTTTGATTTAATAGGGATTACTTTCTCAAGATCTCTATAAATATTCTATCTTGGGTATTTATTTGAGAGTCTCTGGTCATCTAATATACTTTACGAGAGCTAATATTCTCTCTACACACTATTTATTTATGCGTAGACATGGAGGATCATCTCCTATGTGCCTAAGCCAGAGTACCTTTGTCAAGGATCTATTCTGATGTAGCATGCATCATCATAATCTTTTCTTAGAACTATACTAGTGATTTCCTTATCCATCCCTGGAGATATGTAGGCAGTCCGATCTAGATTCAATCACACTCTCCAATCAACCTCATTCTCTATCCGTCGGAGTACTATTATGATGCCAAGTGGCATCATCTTGATTGTACACGTGTCCATTGCTAGTAACAAATTTGGGTTAAGTTGTTGGGTTTGTTACATATTAGTTAGTATAAATAAGTGATTGGTAGAAGAAGTAATCGTTGATGTTGTAATAGTCTTCTCTGTAATACAAGTTACTGTGTAATTGAGAAAGAAGTAGAGTTAGGTTCTAACATTGGTATCAACCAATTTGTTCCTCTCAATCCTTCGCTATTGTATGACGCGACAAGCTTCATGGAAAAATATGGAGTCCAGGGTTTCGAGCCTAGAAACTAAGATCGAGGAGTTCAAGATTTCTCAAGATGAGGTGAAAGCAACTCAGGAGCTGATCTTGGTGCAGTTGCAGAACCTTTTGGCATGAGGAAATGAGGGTTCTTGGGGCGAATCATCAAAAGCAACGCTGGGTGACAATCCTTTCCCAGATCGCATGAACAATACCTAGAATCGCCATGATTTTGGTCCCAATTTCAATAAGTAATCATGACCTCTATTCTTGAAGTTAGAATTTTCGAGATTCAACAAAAAAGATGATCTATTAGGCTGGATACATAGGGAAGAGCACTATTTCAAGTTCTTCAATGTTGAAGACTCCAAGAAGGTGAAATTAGATTCCTTTCACATGGAAGGTGCAGCTTTGCAGTAGTTCTAGTGGGCGAGGTGTTTGACAAAATACCCCAATTAGGATGATTTCACTACAATATTATGTCAAGAATTTGGTCCTTTAGAGTTGAAAGATTCTACAGAAAGCTTGGTGAAATTGCGCCAAGTGGATACCCTCAAAGGCTATATGACTGAATTCAGAAGATTTGCGAATCGTACAAGAGATATCAATCCTGCATTGCTCAAATCATGCTTCGTGGGACGGTTACGCCCTAAATTGTGACATGATGTGAAGTTGTTGAAGCCAAAAGATGTCCCGGAAGCTTTTGCATTTGCTCATCAGTTAGATGTCAAAATTGCTAATCTTAAGGTGAAATCTAACGCTAAACCTCCCTATGTTCAATCCAATGTGTGATTTCCTTTGTAGAATGTTAATTCCAATTTTGGGTAGAAAACAAGCCTAGACCAAACAATATTAGGAGGTTAACACCTGAAGAAGTGGATTATTGTAGAAAAAATAGGCTATGCTTTCATTGTAAAGAAAAATTTGTTAAGGGTCACATGTGGGAGGAAACATTTACTGTTAATTGATGTCCAAGAAACTGATTTGTGTATGACTGAGGAAGAAGAGATTGAAGAAACTGAAATCATAGCTTGTGCATTATTTGATACACTGCACCTCTGTCAATCCAAATAATGAAGGTTACAGGTTATGTTAAGAATTGTCCTGTTACTATTTTCATTGATTCTGGAAACTCCCGTAATTTCATAGATGTGGGGTTGGTGAAAAGATTGAAGGGGTCTTTGGATACTAATCATGTGTTTAATGTAAAGATAGCAAATGGAGGAAAAGTTGCTACTCAAGGCACTCTATCTCAAGCTCCTATCAAACTTCAAGATTTCAAGTGTGTTTCAGATTTATATGTTGTAGCTTTGGGAGAGTGTGATGTGATTCTTGGAGTACAATGGTTGAGAATTTTGGGACTTATACTGTGGGATTTTGACAAATTATACATGCAGTTCACAAGCAACTCTTAGACTTATTGCATTGCTAGCCCAGGGGTGCCTAAAGAACAATTGTAAGACATATCTGCTTTACAAATGCAGAAATTATTTTCACAAGATACAACAATTGGTGAAGTTCTTTATCCCATTGAACTTGATGATCTTAGTTCTTATCATTTGGGAATGGTGAATAGTAGGTTCAGAATATCACTGAGTTGCAACAACAATAATTACATACCTTGTTATAGAATTAAGAAATGGTGTTTCTTACCCCATAGTCATTACCTTCTCATAAAAGTCATGACCACAAAATTCCACTCATTCATGGCAGTAAACCTCCAAACAGTAGACCTTATAGATATGGTCTTATTCAAAAGGCTGAGATTGAGAAATGTGTTGCGGAATTGTTACAAGCTGGGTGTACAAAGGTGAGCAACAGTCCACTCTTCTCCAATGATATTGGTGAGGAAAAGGAAGGTAGTTGGCGCATGTGTATCAAAGATAAGTTTCCTATCCCTTTGATAGATGAATTATTTGGTGCTCACTTTTTCTCCAAGTTAGATTTGAGGGAAGAGTACCATCAAATACGTATGCATCCAGATGATGTTGAAAAAACTGTATTTCATGCTCATGATGGACATTATGAATTTTTAGTGATGCCATTTGGATTGACAAATGCCCCTGCCACTTTTCAAAGCCTTATGAATGAAATCTTTTGACCACATTTGAGAAAATTTATCTTGGTTTTCTTTGATGATATTTTGGTCTATAGCTCTACTTGACAATTGCATTTGCATCACTTAAAGGTAGTTTTTGATACTCTGAAATAGCATAGCTTGTTTGTAAAGAAATCCAAGTGTGCCTTTGGACAATCTTAAGTAGAATACATGGGACATATTGTTTCCAAAGAGAGGGTTTCAGCAGATCCTACCAAGCTGGATTCAATTGCCAAATGGCCTATTCCTACCACAGTGAAAGCTTTGAGAGGGTTCCTTGGTTTAACTGGGTATTATAGGAAGTTTATTCCACAATTTGGAAAGATTATCACACATTTAATAGTACTCACCAAGAAGGATAACTTTCAATGGACAAATGCAGCTATTACAGCATTTTATACACTTAAAGCTGCAATGTTATCTCCTATGGTATTAGCTTTACTTGACTTTAGTAAGGCTTTCATAATTGAGACTGATGCTTCAGGCCATGATATTGGTGATGTGCTCCAACAATTGGGAAAACCAATTGCTTTCACTAGCAGAGCATTATGTCCTCAAAATTAAATCTTTTCAGCTTATGAGAGGGAGAGGTTAGCAATCTTACATGCCATTCATAAATGGTAGTCTTATCTAGTTGGCAATCACTTTATCATTCAAACAGATCATTATAGTTTGAAATACTTCCTTCAAGGTAGGGCTCATACTCCATTTCAGCAAAAATGGGTTATGAAACTCCTTGGTTTTGACTATGAAATTCAATTTAAGCAAGGTTGTAATAACACTCTCAAGATCTACATTGGTTGACATTCCCACTATTCAACTGTTAACTGACATGGAACTTCAAGCTATATCATACCTTTATCCTTAGTGGTTAGATGAATTGAAAAGAGACTTAGAGAAAGACCTTTAGATTCTTTCCTAGATTCAAAATCGTTTATTTGCAGAAGACAGTGATGTGGTTCTTTCTACTTTGAAGTTTCAGATTGATAATGGACTGTTGAAATACAAAAGTAGGATTGTTTTGAGTCCTACAAGTTCTTAGAGAGACAAAGTGTTCATTGAGATCATGCCACTCCTACTGTAAGCCATGAAGGTTTCTTAAAAACTTATAAAAGGATATGCCGGTGTTTTTATCGGAGGGTATGAAAAATTTTGTTAAATAGAGGGTAGCCTATTGTCCCACTTGTCAACAAAACAAATATGAGACCTATCTCCTCCAGGATTATTACACCTTCTCCCTATCCTAACAAAGGTGTGGACTGATATCTTTATGGACTTTATTATTCACCTTCTTCCATGCCAAGGAAAAATAGTGATTTGGGTGGTGGTAGACAGTTATCCAAGTATTCACACTTCATTGCTCTAAGTCATCTATATTCTGCATCAATGGTTGCTTAATTATTTGTGGATCACATCTTCAAACTACATGGAATGCCTAATTCCATTGTTAGTGATCGAGATCCAGTTTTTTTTAAGCAAATTTTGGAAAGAATTCTTTAAGCTTCAAGGGTCTTCCTTATGTTTTAGCTCTGGTTATCACTCTCAATCAAATGGTCAAATAGAGGTCTTAAACAGATGTCTCAAGACTTACTTAAGGTGTTTTTGCAGTTTGTAACCCAAGAACGGGCTACTTGGCTAGCTTGGGCAAAAGAGTCTTTCAACATCAGTTACCATTCTGCTGCAAAGTTGACTCATTTTGAGATTGTGTATGGTCAATCTCCACCAACAGTTCAGTGCTTATGATTGTGGTACTACTAAAGTTGACTCAGTGGATAAATCATTGAAGGAAAGAGATTGAATTTTGTCAATTCTTAAAACCAATTTGGCTGTTGCACAATGTAGAATGAAG